CTGGTGCGCGTTTCTATCAGTTTTATCGTTATCACAAAACCAATAGCATCTGTGACAACGATTAAAAAAAAAGATGCTAAGGATTATTATAACAAAAAGAAATATTTGGAATATGCTGGGCCACATAAAAATGCCAGTAAATGAGTGTGCTGCTTTTTGATCCCCGGATTAAAGTGCTCCAGCATGAGTGCAGTGAGATTTCTGGCTCGAAATCAAAATTCGTTAAATAGTTGCTGCACCAGAACAAAAGCGCAATTATTGATGTTTGGTTTTTCCAGATACAAAAGAACTCTTACTGAATGGCGTTGCGACTGCTCCCCTCACAAACAGCAGCATTTTCCTTCTCTAATTTACTTGTCACAGCTGTTCTTCTGGCATTTGTGGTAGTTGTTGATGTCACGGTAACGCTGCTTGCTGAAACAGTGGCCGATGTGGAGGCGGCAACAGATGAGTGCTCCTGAGCAAATGTGGCAATCACAGATTGTGAATTTGCACCCGCTGCCGCTGCTGCAGCTGCTACAGTTTGACGCATGCGAACCTGCAATAGCAAATTTAGTACAGTCAGCATACCTACCAAAAGGTCTAGGCGGAATTGCACACTAAATTCTTCGAGCGCATTTACAGATACCGACCAGCACCACCACCCCGGAAAGAGCAGCTAAAAAATACGCCAGACTTCTCAGTCTTGAACTGTACATTCTTCATTCTGTGCGCATCAGTCTTTTCTGCATATTTGCGCTATCCCTTCGAGAAACATCTCAATAATTGTTTTCCTATATGTAAATACCACTCCCGGCCCAAACATCCTCAAGTGGCAGTGAATATTAAGTAGAAGATATGCAGTTCAGAACTGAGTGGCTCTAACATCACTGGATGGCCCCGTCACACATTACCAGTATCGGAAGCCCACACCAACAATCCAGTCATTTCTGAAAATCGTAATAAAGTCAAAAGTCAAAACCCTCTTCGTGTTTTTATGCGTTTTTTGCAGCAATGCAATGCGAAAAACGCATATTGACGAGAGGTTGTCT